TCCTGTTTCGTTAGTTTGCTCAAAATATTAGGACTTTTCTGAAAATTACCCGATAACCAAAATATTGGGACTTTTTTGAAAATTACTATGGAATTAATGGATATTATTATGAACAAATCATTTATAAATATAATTTTTTTTATTATAAACAAAGGAAATACATATCTTGCTAATTTCTAGGAATAGAATGGTCGACTATGTACTTCTCTATTATTTGTTTACCACTTCAAAGTCCCTATGTTTTTCTTATGTATTGTTGTGGGTGTCATAGTGATAAGTAATCTGTTAGGTGTGACCAATACAAAAGTTGATAATATTTATTAATACACAATCAATAAGTGTCAACTTGCTATTAAGCATGATGATATATAATCACGTGGTATTAGAAAATATCATTACACGAACATATAGATCTTTCATTATGTTCTTTAACCTAACTACCATCTAACCTCCAAACATTACCCGGTAACTACCATAAAATTACACACATGTATCGAGAGTGAAAATTAAACTTTTAATGACAATTTAATTATATAATAACCATTCACTTGTTTCCATATAAATTATCATTGACGATTCACTTTTCACATTTTATAGATGTGTGTTAGCCAATGGCTGTTAACATGTAAGATATGAATGTTGGTTGGTAGTTACGTTAAACAACATAAGAGGAACACCAACATTAGAGGAATGCCAACTAAGTTCATCTCACCATTATACCCACAACAATGTATAGGAAGAGCATAGAGAGTTTGAGTGGCCAGGAAGCAATAGAATACTTAGACCGCCAAATTATTCCTAGAAATTAGCAACAGATATATTACCTTTTTTTTAAACAAAAATATTTTTTATGTACCAAAATTTTGAGCAAACTAACAAAAAAAGAACAGAATGCCAGCAAAATCTGCGAAACCGGCTGAAAAGGATTTTTTTTTTTTTTTTTTTTGAAGTTTTAACCAATATTCTGTGCTTTTCTGTAAATAAAATTTAATTTGAGACTTTTTCATAAATTAGATTAAAATTTTAGAACTTTTCTAAAAATTTCCCTATACAATAAACATAATCTCATAATTTAGGATTGTGTCTACTCCCTAATTTATATCAAAATGTATAGCAATGAAGAGATTTCTTAAAACCTAATGTGCCCAACATACCAAGTCACAGTTAAATCTTTGGACTTCATGATCTCCTTATAATCAATAAGACATCAAGAAACTCCTTTCTACCACGTTCATAATACAAAACTCAAAAGAATGGCTACAATACAAAATAGAAACTAAGGTACACTGAACCAAACATATCTTGAATCAGTATTAAACGTTTTGATGCATTCATATGAAGTTAAAGCATATGATTATTAAGCAATAAGTATTGAACCATAATAGATGCGCAAGCAGACAAACTAAAAGAATTAAGTTGCCACTATCAATACAAAGGATTTATCGAGAGTCGAGACTATTAACCCATGAAACATAATTATAAGCATTAACGTTTCACAAAGTATTCAATTGATAATCCTCATAATCTATTACCTGATTCGCAGTAAATCGACTCTTGTTGTGTCGTTGTTGTTGAGTTGCCATTGAGTTGTTGTCGCTGATCGACTCTTCTTCTTCTTCTCTTTTGAACATTATCGACTGATCGCTTCTTGCCTTCTAGTTCTAGGTGTTGCTTCTCCCATACGTGACCTATTTTGCCTTTGCGTTTGCCTCTTTGCATATGGATTGGGCTGAAAGTAAACATAATATTAAAAAAAATGCGCCCCTTAAAAAAGTGGGCCCTGTTCCAATGCCCACTTGCCTCTCCTCTCTCTCTCTCTCTATATATATATATATATATATATATATATATATATATATATATATATATATATATATCAATCAGGCGGTTCGGTTCGTTGATATCCGGTTTTTTTGGTGTCGTATCGGCCGGTTCGGCTTGGTTTTACGTTTTTTTTTGCACCTAATTTTACATAACTAAACTCAAATATATGAACACATGCTACGCTAACCTACTACTGGTATATATAAAGAATAGCAATAGGAATGGAATGGTAAATAATTTAAATAACGATTTAAGCACAATTATTGCAAATCTGATAAACTAGTTTGATGAAATAATGAATATTTGTTGTAAAAATGAAACTAGTTTCCATTGTATCACTGATCCTTGCTTTGTTGTTATATTGGTGGTAATGAAATGGTGTTTTGATAATGGAAGGCATGAGAGTTGAAATAAATAGTGGATATTGGAACACAAGCATGAGTTTCACAAAATAAACTCATGACAAGCAGAAAGGAAGACCAAGACAAAAGCCATTAATCTTCGGACATCAACTTCCATTTATCCAAATACCATATCAAATCTTGAGTTATAAACATGGCTAAACAGTATCTAACATCTAAGCTTTTACAACACCAAAGAAAAAAATAAGTTGATGATAATCATATTTAGATTACATTAAGCAGAAAGCAACTTCTGAATGCTTTACAATGCAGGCATGGAGTTCATCTTTCCTAACATCCACAACTTTTTCCACTGCCTCTCATTTATTGAGGAGCAGAAACGTTGCCTCCATGGAGTGCTTTGAGCAATGGTGTAGTAGGAGAAAGAGGATCGGAAATGGTTATTTCAAATCCAAAGTAACCCTGAAACAGTATGAATATGAAGATGATGTGAACAATTTTACCTCGAGTTCATTCACATCAACCTTAAGGAAGGTGATATGAGTAATCTTTTTAACAAAGTTAACCAAGATTGGTGCAATCACACGACAAGTACCACACTATGAGGCTGTTCATAGACAACTACCTGTCAAGAAATCCATTCAGATGTGAAGTATCGAGCCTATTGTCAAATCATGCCATTTCTATAAGACTTATGTTGTAAAACGAAGTTAAGCGGATCGGTGAAGTATATGTAATGATGGCAAATCATTTGACCAATAATGAATAAATCTTAATCTTAATCAAGATCTAATTTTGTTTTCCTTGACCATATCTCTTCAGACACCCTCTGACCAACATCAATACAACTCCTATTCAAGCTTACGAATTTCATACAGTGACGCTACAAAACAAAATAAAAAGGTTAATATCCAAAACTACCTAAATTCTAGAAAAAATGAACATATTCGAATGCATAAATTGTAAATCAATTTAAAAAAAAAAAACGCAAATTGTGGGTTATCACCCGTCTAGTAACGTGGTCAATGAAGTGCGCATTAGGTGGTTTAACGTCACACGAGAATTAACGTGGTATTAACATCATATAAGCATTAATGTGGACATGTGGTATTAATATAATAAAAATAAAGAAGTGCATTAATCTGATATTAACATCGTAGAAGCATTAAAGTGGTATTAACATCGCATAAGCAGAATCAAGTGTATTAACATCACAAAATCTAGGGTATTACCGTGAGTATTTGATCGTGGGCAGCAAGAAATTTCAATGCAACAGTAACGTGGTTTGATTTTGGGAAACAAAAAATCCCACTACTAGAAAAAAGTATAATATAATACGTTGAAAACATGAATATATTACGCACGTTAAATCCGTATTAATAGAGGGGTGTATTAGATTACATGCCTAATACGGCTATTCAACCATACTATATATGTATCCTATCTACTTTTTACAACAATCGCATACAATCATCTTATACGCTATATATATACACATCTATTACACTATAAATGACTGTACTTGATGTCACATCCCGCATTCCAGCAATCCACTCGTGAATGTATTCCAGCCCATTCCTCCATTGCATTCCAGCCTTATTCATCACCGAATTCCACTCCATAGATGCTGCAATGAAACACATGGATCACCATTCCAACTGAAACGAAGTCTTCAATTTCTACAAAGCTTTTACGACAGCATAAAGAAATAATTTTTGCTTCATAAAAATCCTTTTCAAAGCTTCAAATTCCAAGAAATGTTTTAATAAAGATGTACCTTCATCAATTGAAGTTTATGACAATTTCAAAGATCTGTATGGTCTCTGTGGCATTGTTGTATTCAGCACAAGAGCACTATTAAAATTTCCACTCATTTTGACAATATCAATCTCTTGAAACATGTTATCACCATTTATAATGATGTCAAAAACTCGTTGTCCCTCCCATGTGAATTGTGACTGAAGGATCAATCTCTACAAAATACAAACTAGTTGATAAATTTTTCAAAGGATAATGTCTAAAAAACAAAAAGAAAATTTTAATGTACAATGATATAAATGATAAGTTTTGAAAAAGTATAATGGCTTAAAAAAATCTTGCACACAAGGTGCATTAAACAAGATAACCTCTGTGGCATGCTATAGTTATGATCATAATAATCCCTATTTCTTATATATCAAATGTGTATTTTTAGTTTTTTACTTTAATCAAAAACTATATTGTTTCATCAAAACAAAAGCATAAGTCTCTTGTGGATGTGTTTATGATCTTCCATCAAATTAATACTCTTAAGTAAAGTGTAGAAATGTAAATATCAAAATGAATTGCTTACTTTGAACACAACCTTTAAAAAAAATTGTTATTATATAAATCAACTTTTGTTCACAAAATTAATAATTTTCTCTTTAAACATGTCATTGTCTCTGTTAATGTATATTAATTAAAGATAGCCTTGACCTTGTTAACTGGTTCCAAATTTATTAAGCATATATGATATTTACTCCCAAAAAAGTTATGAAATGAAACAAAATAACTAGTTAATAAGAACATCTCAATAGGAGCTTTTTTTCATATGAAAAAAACCTCAAGAAAACTAAAGAAGTTTGGATGATCTTTTTCAAAGAGCTTGTTAATTAACAAGCTTTCAATGATTTTGTGGATCCATGGGTTTTCAACCAATTGTATATAGAAAACATATACAAGGATCCCACAAATAACAAACTAAAATAATGTTTCTATTGTGGAGATAAAAAGAGCTTTTCCATTTAAAGTTTTATAATGAAATAATTTCACCAAAAAGCTCTCGTGTGATAGATGCTTGGTAAAAAAATTACCTGCCAACATCATCGGCTTTAACTAAACCAGAGTTAACTTTGAGACAAGGCATAGAAGTTGTTGTCTTCAACATTTTAAGAGCTTCCACTATGATGATTGGTGACCCATTCTTTAGTGATTGAGATGCTTTTGATGTGATCCATATTTCTGCTGGTGGCTCTTTTGATGAACACATGATTCTTTGAACAAAACTCTGATTATTTTGGATGCTCCTTCATTATTCAAGAGACCATAGTCATCATTCCGTTCTAGAATGCTGAAATTAACAGCCAAATTTTAGTTATACACTAAGATAAACAAAGTTAACTCCAATTCTTATTAGTTTTCTCTCAATTTCTTTTCGTTACTTGGTTGTTTGATTAAGAAAGATTCTAGCAGATTTGTCTAAAATAATCACATAAAAATGAACATACCAGACCATGAAGGGTAGACTAAGTGGAATAATAACTCTCATGATTTAGTGCTACTGAATACCCATCTACAGTTATGGACTCCAAGCTCAAATTGCCCTGTAGAAGTAGGGAAGGTGAAAATAAAAGTAATCATCAGCAAAGATCATTAAGGTGAAAATGAGTTAAAAATTCAGCTTTGAAGATATACTTAGAGATTAGATATATTTTATACTTATAATAGAGTTTTTATGTAACAAACAAAGCAATATAGAATTTAGATTAAAGTAAACCTGCTGCTACAAGCGAGCTTTAAAGGTCATAATATCCTGCTCTAAGTTAAGCTAAAGTAACACAGATCCATAAAATTAGCATAAAAATTGTGCTTAAATAGGTCCAAAAAGGAATAGAAGAATGATATATTAAGTATATCTGCATATTTAACATCCCCATTTTCACGGCCAGAAAAAATCGATTTTGTTTATGCTTTATAAAAGTCAGAGTACCACTTTTAATAAAAATGTTGCGGAATTTGTTCCTAGTAAAACATGATAAATACGTTATCAAATCATTTCTGAAGAAAAAGTATTTTTATTCATTTTAAATCATTTGGGATGTCATCATCAATACAGAAACATAAGCATAAACAGAACTTACATTCATTATCACTAGTGATTTATATCTCCTTAATCTCTCAGTGTAATGTGACTTCATATCAACACCTGTGATATAAATAAACTGAGTGGGTCAGGTTGGGAAACCTGGTGAGTACATAGGATTTTCAACCCACAATAAATAAGTTTATTAACTTTATCAAACCAAACAAACCCGATTACTCGTTCCCGTTATCCTTACTTTACATCCCTAAAACATCTAACACAAAGGACCTAGTCTAAGGACTTTCATCGGGATGACAGCACATGCTTCGGGAGTTCTTCAGCAATTCATGTCAAATAAGGCAAACATGTGGGGGATGGAGTACTGCTGGTGAACACACAGTTCAAATAAATACCTATAGGTTGCGAGCCTGCTAGCGTTCCACTAGACTGTCTAGAATAGTTCGTGGTCGTGATCTATACTCTGCTAGATGACTAGATCATCAATAACATCGATAACGTGGCCTCTCATTACTTTATTTGGTCACACAAAAACTATTACATCTACCAATGTTTTACCCAACACTTTTTGTAGATATAAAATATATATACTGTTTAAATCATTTAAAACGTGTATAAAGTTCTTTCACCCAGCATAGACAGCAAGTATTCAGACAATATGCACACATAGCACGTAATTTATATTAAAATACTTCATATCTATGTGTAAGATGAAAGGGACTATGCACTCACCAGAAAAGGTGGTGATTCCGAACTCAGATAGCGCTTCGCTTCTTAAAAATAATTTCATTTGACGAAACCTAGTATTATTACCACTAGAGTATAGTCTATTATTCGCCGATACTAATTTAAGGCTAGCTATTATTACTATTATATAAGAGCTAACAATACTTATATAACCCATAATAATAACTCATGTACTTACTATAAGTTCCTAATAACGTTAGTATAATTAAATAAAAGTTATATTAAAAATAGTATAGGTGTAGCTCACTTATAGCGGATTTTATAGAAAACTGGGTTTCGCTTGGAGCAGCGTTCCCGAGACAAAAAGCTCTTCTTCTCGGAGCCGTCGAGCACTCTGCGGCTTATGCCTCGTGCTGGGGAGGTTCCGTAGGCTTTTCAGGTGGGTTTCGGGGCTAGTGAGTGGTTCTAAAGAGAGAGTACAGAAAAGAAAGAATGGGAAACATGTGAAGAAAATGAGGGTGTGAGAGGTTCTATTTATAGGGTGAAATATGGTTGAACTTGGTGCCACATGTCACCATCTGGTGGCAAGACTTGCGGAGAAAGCAATGGCCAAGATTGTGCCATGTCACCCATTTTCGCACAGTACACTTCCGACTTCTAAAATCCATAACTTTCACATACGAGCTCCATTTTTGACGTTATTTATATCCACACGTAGGTAAGAATAAGATCTACAACTTTCATTTTGACTCCGTCAGCTAATTCTCGATTGATCTTAAATTTATCTGTACAATGGGATTATATTGTTAAATATCCGCGTAAAATTCATAACTTCTACATACGGACTCTGTTTTCGTCTGTCTTTTTACCATTGAGTTCCTATTAATGAGATCTTCCATTCTCATTTAGCTGCGTAGGCCAAAAACCGCTCGATCTAAATTTCAAGTTTCGGGCTATACACTACTAACCAAATCTTAGAAAATTGATAACTTCCTCATACGAAGTCATATTTGGGCGTTCTTTTTATGCACGCTCTCGGTTTAACATATACTATAACTTTGGTTTGGATTACTAAGTCAAAAAAGTCCTCTATCATAAATTCACTATTTACGTCTCCCGATGTCATGTCGGTTTTGCCATAAAAGATCGACAAGTCATAACTTCTTCGTTATAACTCGGATTTCGACGTTCTTTATATGTACGGAACCCTTGTAACATATACTACAACTTGGTTAAGATTAATCCTTCTAAATAATATTTCATCAAAAACTTGTTTTTGATGCTCATTGTCTCTAAGTTGACTAGCTCGGATCTGCAGGCGTTTCAATTATCTCCCCCTTAGGATGATTACGTCCCGGAATCATCAACAAAACAAGGCTTGTATAATGATTTCATATGTTATTTCTTCATCCTAAGTAATAATCGTAATTTGGATGTTTCTTTGAACAAGTATCTAACTCTAAGACTTCCTGACCGCAGGCAGTGTTTGATCTTGCACTTGCTCCCTATCTCACGTTAGACTCCAAATTTTGACCTTCAAGTCACAATCTCGATTCTTACTGGAGACTGCTTCTTCTAACAAACCTAAGATAAGTTATTTAATTACTACAATGGACCTATGTGTCATATTCTAATGACCTATCATCGTATGTTCCTACGCTTAGACTCGGGTCTCTTAGAGTCTTCCAGAACAGACTATACATTTCTTCATGTTCTAATCACATCTTAAAAGGTAGCATTTCTAGCTACAAGTAACTATCGCGATACCTCTAGTGATCGCTTTAATAATCTTTTATTTCAATCTTCCGGCTTAAGTCAGATGATACATCAAACTTAGTTCTTTGAACCATGTAGCATACTCATCATAGTTGGACTCAATTCGATATGACCACTAGGGTAGGAATAACAATCATCCTCTTAGTTATTACTGAAATGATGGTAACGACATATTTAAATAAAACGGTATCAATTACTAGCTTCTTCGTAACCTTGTGACTTTCCCTGATCCAAGTGTGAGTCCTGTGCTTCCGGTAGTGTATACCTCTACTACCTTTCACACCTACTCATACTCGTCCCAAGTATTGTCTCATAGCTTACCAATTTATCATCATAAAATCAATTTTAACACATTCAAATGTGTCCAAACAATCATATAATTTCCCCTTAACTCTGCTAGGACTTCTTCCATGTGTATCTTCAATCATTAATTCTACTTCAACTCGGTTGGTGGTGGAAATGTCTGACGATGGGATAAATTCATGGATTATACCAAAAGTCTTTCTTTCTTCTAATCAAAGGTTTAATTCTCCCGTACTAGTCGTATTATTTATTAGACGCATTCTAAAGGCAAGATATCACTCTTACGATATCTATCGATAGATATCATTCACTATCGTAAGCATTCTCATTTCCTCCATTTACTAAATTCTCTATGAGTCTTCACTGTGACGTTATTTTCATGGAAGCATGCATTCATTACATCGAGACAAGAATATAGATAGAGAAGATTTAGACGTGTAATCCTCCTTATTACTCCGAAAAGTTACATGCCGGTTCTAATACCGTAATTAAACGTTTAGAAACCTGAACATATAAAGTTTTCCAGATGCGGTTGACAACAGAACATATATATGATCATATAATGCATATCATAAATCATTTTGCACATAAAATCAAGCTAGGCATTTTCCTTAAGTAAGCTAGTGCTTGTGTCTATCAAGTGTATTACCTAAAATTTCTTAGACACACTCCTCACAATCATTTCTTAGCATTCTAAGTTTAAGTCTAGAAATAAATACATATTCCTGTTGGAACCTGAAAGTAAACATCTAGAAATCCCAAGTACCTATTCCGAAGCTTATTGGTTACGAAGTGAAAAGTTCTCTAGAATCTGTCCGGAGCTGAAGAGAAGAAGAGGAAGAATATTTTGAAAAGGAACACATTCTGGAGTGACACTCACGTCCGGAATGTATGCTGATGCAGAAGAAAATCTTTTTGTATTTTGTCATTTATTATCCTTGTAATGATGTAACGTTACATAGGACTTAGCCTTTTTGTTGTATTCGACAATCAAAATGTCAGAAATACTTCTATTGTCCAGTCCGATGTAAGTTACTCATTTAATTCACTGTAACATTCTCTCTTATATAAAGGAGCATTCAATACAAGTTTTGATCATTTGTTGAATATAATCTAAGACTTGACTGGTCTTTCCAGTCTAGAATTGAACTTCATATTGTAAGCAGACATTGATATTAAGCATTCATTCAAGATTTATATTCTCAAACCTTGTCCCTACGCAACTGATCAAATTCTAGTCTCACAATTGGTATCAGAGCTTGAGTGGTTGTCCTTTGAATCAATAAGAGCAGATTATAGTTAGTTTGAATATACCTTGGTATCTCAACCATTTCTTTGTTAAGGATAAAAGTTCTTCAATATACCACTTTTTCTCAAGATATCTTAACTTTAATGGCTGCTTC